GAGAGAGAGAGAGAGAGAGAGAGAGAGAGAGAGAGAGAGAGAGAGAGAGACAGAGACAGAGAGAGAGAGAGAGAGAGAGAGATAGCAAATGCCAAGTGATCAAGCTGGTTCTTATTAATTTATTTGAGCATGATAATCATATTGTGTTGATTCCAGCCTTCATATGGGGAGTTTGACATCAGTGGAAATGTGCTGGGGCTTGTCTTCAATCAAGGAATGATATGGTGAATTACTTCTTATGCTTCTGTCACAAATGTGCTAATGATTAACAAAAAAGTGAGTGTGGAGTGGCTATCTCGACATATAATTTGTATTATTTGTTTGACTGTTAACTGTTGCAGAGGAACTCAAATTAATGACATTAAATCATAAATAAGAATACTCAGCTGACTTCTTTCCTTTATAAATGATTAGTTAAAAGCTGGCTGATAATTCAGTATTTTTTAGACAATGTTTCTGCTATTTTCCTCAGGATGGGAGCATTTTATGCTCCAGGTCTGGTGGGTCTGAACATTTTGCGTCTCCTGTCCTCGATGTACTACCAGTGCTGGGCAGTGATGTGCTGTAATGTTCCTCATGAGCGAGTTTTCAAGGCCTCGCGGTCCAACAACTTCTACATGGGCCTGTTGCTGCTTGTGCTGTTCCTCAGCCTGCTGCCGGTTGTCTACGCCATCATGACCTTGTCCCCGTCGTTTGACTGTGGACCATTCAGGTCAGTAAGAGATGGAGACAGTAGGACTGATATGGTATACAATGTAGTGAAATGAATTCAATTTACAAAGTTAGATTGTTCATAATGAGTTATTCTGCAGGTGATGTAATGAACATAATGTATCTATCTGAAACTATTTAAAACCTATGGAGTTTATTTATCCAAATGCACTGTTTGTTTTTAGAAGCCTACTTTAATATATACAGTGTCAGTCTGTCAGTTGCTCGTTCTCAGGTTTGGGGAGTATTGAACTACATCTAATTAAACTAGTCGTTTAAATACATTTTGCAGCTTGCTGGCATATTAATAATTGTGTATCGTGATTCAAGTAGTTAAATTACTTTTTAGCTTTTTTTGTCTAGTTAACACAAAATACAAACAATTTTGGGGCATGAAACAAAAGGAATGATTTTTTAATGTTTTATTTTACCATTGCTTCGCTACTTTGATTAAACCCCCTTTGACCAGCCTTGCACACTTGAGAGGCACTCAAGTACATTTGTGCCTAAACATGCTAACACTGTCTCACATTTGCAATTTGGTGGTCACTTTTTATTGATACACAACAAACATTGTTGCATTTGATCCAACTTTTTCCCCCAGTGGCCAGGAGAGGATGTATGACGTGGTCATGGAGACTATAGAACAGGATCTACCGTCCTTCCTATCGAACATTTTTTCATATGCCACAAACCCTGGACTCATCCTGCCTGCTGTCCTCCTCATGTTGTAAGTATTATTCAAATATCAACTGAAAAACACTGTGCTGCATCTGCTAAAAAGGCTTATGTATCTGTGGTGGGAATCAGCACAAATGTCCAGAAAACTCAAATCTGAAAAGGAGAGAACGGATGAACAAGCAACCAGGGACTTGCTGGATTCATTTTTTAGGGATGTCATGACAACGGTTGTACTACTGGTATTTTGTATACGTGGAGTTGAGGGTTAACTGATAACTCTTAAGATCCAAATTCTGTAAAGTATCAGATAAAACAGAAACCACAGAATAATTTTGATTGGTTACTGTAATAAAGCTTTTATTCGTTGATGTCACACTTTTATTATTAAGCTGACATATAACTAGTATCTTAATTACTCAAAATATAATGTGACTAAAAATGGCATATTTTCAGTTTCGGCAGCCAGCTGATGCCAGTGAGCCAACCACTTTTAAAAATGAGTGTATGGACATTATAAAGTATGTTCTGAACTTCTGTTTTTCAAAGAAATATTTATAATTCTGTAAATTGACTGAAGCCTTCCGCACACTGTCTGTATATTGGCATATACAGAAGTTTGATGTATTTATAGCTTTTCTGGTGGCATAACAATTTGGCTGCTCGAAAATGCCTATCCCGGTCAAAATTGGTTGCAAAGCATGCAACTCTGTATGCCGTCTCCCTCTGTCATTTCTATACTACCACAGGGGGGCACCCCAGTCAGAGTCAAACATTTTTAAATCCTACACAATGTCTTAACTTTATACTTACTTTTTGGACCTGAAATAGTCAATTATATACATATTGTCTAAAAATGCAAGAATCAATGTGTGTAACTGTAGAAAGTAAAGTCATATAACTTGTAGGGCGTGACCTCAGTATCTGCTGACCTGTGTTTGAAGCCTGACTGTGGTCTCAGCTGTTGTACTGTTTACAGACTTCTTATGCACAACAGGTTGGCCCTCTACTACCTGAATGCCGTGTCAAAGGGATACCAACAAGCAAACATGGACCTTAAAAGGAAGATGAAAATGGTGAGTATGAGCGTTATCTTGTTATGCCCAAGTTCTGTTTTCTTTCCTTGTTTCCCACATTTTTCAATATTTCACTTGGTGTTCAAGATTTAATCAAACACAGGACTGTCTGGGTTAACACTTTAGGCGCGAGACGAAGAGAAGAACCGCAGGAACAACAAGGACAGCACTAATCAAGTGATGAAAGACTTGGAGGACCTGCTGCCAAATAAGTCTCTAATACCGCCTCCCATCAAGGAAGAGCCCCCCCCACCTGGTACACACACACACACACACACGCACACACACACACACACACACACACACACACACACACACACATATTCCTTTATTGCACATACTATCAGACACTCTGCACCCGACTGTCCTCACCACTCTTTTTGCTCTCCATCTGTCTTCTAAGATGTTGTAATCGCGAAGGGCAGCAAGTCTCCCAAAATTAAGCCAGGTGCAGCGGCAAAAGGGGTAAATCTGCAAAAGGATGTGTCACTGGCTGCCCCAAACCCCAGAGCTCCAGTGACCTATGCCCCGGGGCCAAGAAGAGGGCCTCCTGGGAATGCCAGGGGACCTCATCCTGGGCCTGGTAGAGGAAGAGGTCGGGGTGGGCCTCCAAGGCGACATGAGTCATGATTCATGGACTAAAACCTAGTCTGTTAACACTGCAACTGCAATCACAGTCATACTGTATATGGAGGGTGCCACTAGAATATCATATCTTAAAATGCTTTAGATGTAACTGATTGTCTGAGAAAAATACATTCATTTATTAACAGCTACTTTCCGCCTCCGATGAAAAGCTTATGACTAGTGTTTCAAACATGCCAAATACTTAATCGAGTATAATTAACCATTGAAAAGTCTATAATTAATGCAATAGCATACTACAGCATCCACAGTCAAATCCCTTCATGTTCTGAGATTGGAGGTGGAGATGAGTTTGGACTGTGTGGAAATTAAATGACACAGACATGACTGTTATATCTGTATTAATAGCAGTACTACAGCAAAATGTAAAAAAGAAAAACATGATCATGTTTACTGCATTGCAATCCATGTAATGTTTACTGGTTCATAATATGGGTCAACAGTTTTATGGATTTCATTTGGAAATCCATGTAAATATTATGTAAAATGTCTTTCTATTTTTTGTATGACAACTATTAAAATAATTCTTTTCTGGCAAAGTGCTATTGAAGAAACAGGTTATCTTGATACACATGACAGACAATAATAGAGAACATGCTGTTCACTAAACTGTAGAATACATCTGAGATAGTACACCATGGGAAAACATAGACAAATGAAAGTCAGTATTGTCACAGAAATATAAAGAGAAAGAGACACAACATTGACAAGAAGTTGTAAAAGTAGGTATATCTTAGGAGAAATGACAGGAGTAAATGTTGATGGAGTGACACCGACGATGCCTTCAAAATAACCAGGTACAATACGATTATTGCAAAATGTGTTTGGAGGATCTGAAGCTGTGTGGTGGCAAAGAATTAAAGAGAGGAAAAAGTAAGTCCTGTGATTTGATGTTATTATGAGTTCTTCTGTGAGATTTTGATGGTGACTGCCTTGACTTCTGTGTACTCCTGAAGAGCATATTCCCCCTGAAATAAAATAAAAAGCGCCACTGATTATGTAAGGAACATTACATGAGCAATAGTTACCAGTAGAGTTGCAATGTTACAAGTACCGAAGTACCAACCTACATGTAGCTGTGTTGTGGACACATAAACATTGAGTATAAAAGGCTGTTGCCATGTTTGTAGTAGCAGCAAGGACATCATTTCCTCTGGGGATGGGCTCACATCTCAAAATCCTATTTTGTCCCACTCACTTTTACAGTTTCCGATTAATTCACTGAAATAACTCATCATCAGTGGGTCACCATCAGTTACCATCAGTTATTATGTGTACAGTGCACTCACAGCACTAAATTTGACAAACAGTTGCAATTAATTGCCAGATTCCCCCCCCCCCCCCAATTTTTCATGTCAAGCAACAGACCAACTGCTCTGCCTTCTTGGTGGAGGTTATCGTGGAGGTTATTGTGTATATGTATTATTTTGCTGTTTTTATTTACATATAATTCAGCTAAAATATATGCAAGCAATTATCTTCAATCAAAGATAATGCAGCAAAGGGTAGAGCACTTTAAATAAATTACAGAAATACAACATTATTTATTGAGTTTTTAAATAAATTTGACACTGGAAATAAAGAAATGTATGTGGCTTTTATTTTTGATAACCAATTCAATCATATTATATTATCAACTAGATGAAAAAAATAATATAATGAAGAAAACATTTATATTATGTACAGCCACATGGTTGAATGCATTTATTGTAAACCACTTTGGCTCAGTAAATGTAGTGTAATGTCCCCACCATCGAGCACCAGCCAAGCTAAAGTGGAGATACTAAACGATGGTATTACTCACAGTTCCCTCCCGTTCCCAGACATCTTGAAGCCACCAAAGGGACACTGAACACTCATGGCATTGTAGCAGTTCACCCTAAAAAAAGAAACAATAGTTTCACCTCATTCCATAAAATCACCAACCATTTTACACAAGCCATTACTATGTGGCAAATGGAAATATGTTATATATATATATATATATATATATATATATATATATATATATATATACACAGTATAGATATAAAATATGAAAAACATTTCTTTAAAGAAGGTTTCTGTGAGGATGTGCACAGCAGATACATCAGATTTACTGTTTGATCCCCAAACCATATATAGTATTTGATCCCTACCACACCATGCCAGCCTGCAGAGCAGAAGAGACTGTTAGAGCTTTGTCGATGTCGTTCGTAAACACTCCTGCTGCTAGGCCGTAGTGTGTGCGCTTATAAACAGAACACAGAACACAGTTTGTTAACATACTACAGAGAGAAAACACCTCTACAGTGGTGATTACTGTGTGTCTTTATTAGTTATTAGTATTATTAGTTACTATTATTAAGTACAGTGATCATGTGAACAGACACAAACTTCTCAAAAGTCTCTCCAGCTGTTAAAGCCGACTGACAGCTGATCCAGCTGTGATCAGCTGATCCTCCGTCATCAGAAACAGACGTTGCTTCACCTGACGCAACTGAGGAAAGGACGTCTCATGTATCTTAAAACATAATTCCTCGTTCCTCTCTCCTTGCATGGTTTCCTCCATGCATCCCTGGTAGGAGGGACTAAGACGCAAGGAAAGGACGCAAGTGAGGGAAACGGGGATGCAATTAAGAGACTTGAGAAGTACCCACTTACTGTTGGAGGACGTACAGGACGGGAGGAAAGTCAACATCGCCTGCCAATTTCCCATAATGCACTTTGATAACAGTCTCAAAAACGTGATGACGACCTCCTTAATCAAGTTGATTTACACTACTAATTCAGTTAAATGTGAATTTTCAGGTTAACATTTGTTTTGTCATTGAGATGTTGCTAACTAGTAATTCCGTGTTATCACGACAACTTCAATAATATTTTGTCATACTGACAGAATGTCTGCCATTGATGTGTGTCATAGGAACTATTCGTATACACGAATAGTTCCTATGACACACATCAATGGCAGACGCTAAATGCTGTCGTAATCTGCAGGAGATACAAAAATATACGGGAATTAAATTAGTACATACATGCCTTTCTGCCTTAAGGTTTCACAATTTTGTAATCTTATTTAGTTGACAGTGACCTGAAAGTGCATTGAAAAGATGAACAAACAGTGACTCAAATCATCACAAACTATGCATATCTCTTAGCTTAGAGCAGTTTTACATGCGTTTAAAGACGGTGCAATATGCAGCGATACGGTAGGAGGAGAGGAAAAGTAGGTCTGTGGTGCTGCAATGCTTCTTGAAAAAAAAGGAAAGCTGACGGGGCAGAAAAAGTAGTACTCTGATCCATATTCATATTTCCATTCATTTTACTGAGAACTCACTTCTGTTGATTCACATTGAAGAATCACTTGTTTTCAAGAGCGTGCGCAGTAAGTTTCGTTTGCATAATTATACAGTTACTTTACAGGGTTTTCCTGTGGCTTTAAGTGGTTAGCGTAGAAAGACACACGCAGGCAAGGTGTGTCTTTACTGTACTACACACACACACACACGCTCTACAGCCTCGAAGAGAAATCACACGTTCAGTTTAGGGGCTTGTTTTTCATTAACCTTTATTTGTCCGGGTTAAGCTGGTTGAGCAAACGTGCTGTTTTTCATTACTTTCTGTTCACACACATTCACACCGTAAAAGAAAACATCAGACAGATATTTATTTCCAGCAACAGTTCATATATTTTGTGAGTCTTTTAGGAAGTCTAAAACACCAGTGTGGATATTTGCTCCCAAATAATATATCTGACAACATATGACATTTTGTGAAGACATTTCTGCTCTCCAGAGACTGAATGCTAGTGTCTGTACAACTACTGGATGGATTGACCTGACATTAGTACACATATTCATATCTCCCGCAGGATAAACTGTAATCACTCTGATGATTTATTAATTTAACTTTTAATGCATCTGATGAAATTCCTGCAACACTGATGACATTCTCATTGGCCTCAGCTGTGTTTATTGCTCATTAGCAAATGCCAACACGCTAAACTTGAATGGTTAACACATGAACACTACACCTGCTAAACATTAGCACGTTAGCACTGTCACTGTGAGCGGTTAGCATTTAAAGCTCAACGTTTTGCCTGTGAAATATCTGCCCCAAAACAGCCCAATGTGATATTTTAAAATGACTAGACCAAAACCTAAACAATTACAATGATATTAAACAGAAATCCTGCAAGTCCTCACATTAGACTAGCTAACACCAGTGAACTTTAGGTTAAAAATTACCAAAATTGTTGATCATTTGGCTTAATCAATTACTCAACTCAACCGAAATAAAGATTTTTCGATATCGATGCTGGCACATGGCTTTTATTTTGGATTTACTATTAACTGTCAAAGGTTGTATTTAACTACTGATTGCCAAAACTACAAACTCTGGCATGACTCCAAACAACATTCACACAGATAATGTTTTCCCAGTTGCTGATTACCATGTCTTTATCACCACACAATCCCTTCCTGTCAACTTGCAGTGGTAGAAAATAGCTTTAACATTTATTTCCTGCCTACACACATGACACATTCTGGTTGCAATGTAAAAGGTGTGACTAATAAAAAAAGACCTCAGTTGTGACTATTTCTGGGCTGTAAACGTAAGTGCATGAGTGTTAATGTAGGTTGCTGTGGTGTTCCTTTGAACCACATGCCTCAGGTGCAATGTGCATGTCAGGGACCAGAATCTTATTTTGTAACTGTGTCTCCAAAATGTTTTTATGAAATCATTAAAATAATAAAAGGAAAACTGCAAATTCCTGCTCTTAGGAGAAAGGATTCCAGTGTTCAAAGCCTGCTGCATGGAGTCAGTAATGGTACTTTTAAGTGCATTTTGTATTGTAAACAAGAGTTATTAATCTGGTATATCATTTCATATGCTATGACTTTTATTCTCTATATTTGGATCAGAACATTCCCGTTACAGTCCGTCTTTTTTAACATAAAGGTCACAAATTCTCAGAAACTGTCACAAATGTATGTCTTGAACTATTGAATCATTCATTTTCAAAGGCTAATCAGAAGGTGGATGTTAGTTGAATCACACTAAGCAGACACCACTTGCCTTTTCTCACTCAGTTAAGAGTGACTACTTCCTGCATAGGTGGAGCATTTTTCTGTAGTAAACAGCTGTATCACACAGCCTCTGGCCACACAGACACACACCAGCACTTCAAACCAGAATCAAAGATCTGGTAAGTGGTTACTGACACATTTTATTCAAGCAATTATGCACTTTGTGAAATCCTCATTCATAGTTCTCATCTTTTTGCCTCCTGACGAGTGCATGTAATGTTACGTATGTTCATGCTTGTTAATCTGTAACTTTTGTTTTGATTTTACAGGACTTAACAGGATTGTCTTCCTTCTCTTTAAGTAAAAATACTAATATCACAAATTTTCATTCTGTACAAGTAAAAGTTCTTAATTCAAATTAAAAATATTTTTTTATTGATGGATGTTCATGGCACATTTTTAGAGTACTTTTCTAGAAAGTTGTAGTTTTGTTGTCTTATTTCCATCCTTATCCGTGTTTCACATTTCATAACATGACATAATACTTTTTACAAACTGCAACACACGTAATCCAACTTTGGGATGGACAGAGGGAACAGGAGAGGAGGGGCCCTTGTTGTGAATGGGTACGGTCTGTGGTCAATTGCGATCACTGGCTGGCCGTGACGGACTCGTCCTTCACCCCGAGCCAAGTTTCTCGCCATGTGTGCCTCTTGTTAGCGGGCAGCAGCTCCCTCTGCAGGGGGCCTGTAGCTGTTGAATGGGACGTCCCGTACTGTGAGCTACTCTCACCAACAAGTTCCAGAGGATCAGACCTCAAACTTCTGCCTGGCTGAGAATTTTGGTCTCTACTCTGCTCTCTGCTTTTTTTACACCAAAGTTACA